CTACGGACCCCCAGGGGTATCATTCAGGGGGTCCGTGGTAAATTAAAATTGATTTGGGGATCTCTGAACAACGTCAGGGGGATTAATATAAAATAATATAAAACAGAAGTACGTTGGTTATCTAAAAGTGCATGTTTAAATCCATTTTATGTGCTCTTTGATTCAGTGTTGGAATTCCTGAATTTCATTAACCCAAAAAATGACATAGCCTTTATGACTGATTTATTTGCCAAATTTAACGAAACTAATTTGAAACTACAAGGTGACCAATTAAATTTGATCAAAACTAAAAGCTTAATGTCTGCGTTAATGCTCTGTTTCCAAATTTAGAGATGAAGATTTGCTTGCTGTACTCAACACTTAACGGCTCTTCATATCTGAACCAAAGATTTGAAGACATTCTTCACATGGATATTCCCAACCCTTTTGCGCGTGGACAAACTCAGATCCCAAACACAGATGAATCCATGCTAATACAGAAGCGGCTTATTGAAATATCCACAAATGAGGAACATAAACCAATGTTTGAACAAGGATATCACATTTTAAATTCTGGTTACAAAAACAGATCCCAATTTTATACTTGCATTGTGGGTTATTGTACAGAAGTTGTTGACTGCTTTCCCGTCTTTCTATTTGGTGGAACGTGGATTCAGTGCCGTTATGAAGCTCATCACAAAAGAAAGAAACCGATTAGAAATTATACACTAACATCTCATCAGGTTCATCCGTCATTAATTTTTTTATATTTTATTTTAAACAAAAGTAATTAATATTATAATTTATATATATTTATAATTTATAATTTCAAAAATACTTCTTCAAAAAAACTTTTTTTTAAATTTGTAATTTTTATATTATGCATTTATGTGACTTTTTCACTGGGGGAGGGGGGTCTGTGGGCAATTTTTGACTATAAAAAGGGGTCCATGGGTCAAAAAAGTTTGGGAATCACTGATGTTTACAAAAATAAATAAAACAAATAAACAGCCCTATTCACTTTGTGTTCTGGGCAACAATGTTTGTGCATGTATTAACATTTTGCCATTTTGACGTATTTCAACTTAATTTTTGATGGTACTTCGCTTCGTAGCTGTTGGCAAGAGTGGATCAGAAAACTTTTATTCCTGTACCAGAGTGAAGTTACCTTCCACTTATTTCTTCTCTCAAGAAGGTAAGAACTTTTATTTCTTTTCCTCATTTCTCTATTAAAGTTGTTACCTCTTTTTTATTCTTCGCATTTAAAATAATTTAATCATATTTATCAGATTGTTTGAATTGTGTCCGAATATCAGATGCGTTAAGTGATTTCAACTCTATCGTAGTGTTCCTCAGGGCTCTGCCTTGGGACCGGTTTTATTTTGATTTATATAAACGACCTCCTATTGGACGTTAGATTTAATGTGTATCGGCTGGTTCCATTACATTTTGAATTTTTATGGTAGTTTTGTCTGTATATTGTACAGAATATAATAGTATTTTGTATTTTTATTGTTTTTTTGTTTTTTAGGCAGAGCTTTTATAACATTTATAATTAAAGTAATAAACTCCCAAATGATGGGGATGTTGAGCCTTAATAAACTGCTCAAAAATGAATGAGGGATATTAGTAATTTATGCTTATTCTATTAATTTTAATTAAATTAACCAATATATTCTTGTTAGTTGGAAAAAAACAAAATGGAAAATACAAACCAAAAACAAATTTTAATCCTCATTTTTAATAATGGATTTACTTGAGAATAGTAAACACGAATATCATTTTGTAAACAAACGCTTTTTCTTGTCTTTTCTCAATTTTAATCCAGTTCTCTTCAACCATGGAAAGACATCATCTTTAACCAGAAGATCAGAATATTACTGTGGGAATGGGACATCTAGGTCACCAGCAAGTGGATATCATAGAGGCTGTTGGCGTTTCTCAGACTGTGGTATCCCAGGCTTTAGCTCGATTCTGAGAGACACAGAAGTGTCAATAGGAGGCCTGATGGCGGATCTCAGTGCATTACAACTCTAAGGGAGGACAGAAATATTGTTATTCTTGCAAGATGGAATCCTTTACATATAGCCCGCCAAAACCTAAATGAAGTACAAGATCCTTTATCAACACAAACGATTTGTAATTGTTTGTGGAAAGTTGGCCTCACATCGTATACCCCTTTGAGACGACACGCCGCAACAGCCCACATCAGCAACTCATGAAAATATAGTGCAGCGAGCGCCTAGAAGAGGACACCTATTGGAATGCGGTTATATTTACTGACAAGTCGCGTTTCTGTCTGTATAGTGATAGCACGCGCCGAAGAGTGTACCGAGAACAATTTGTGCTTCCTTCAGTGCAGTTTGGAGGAGGTGGTCTAGTGGTCTGTCCTGGATTTACACTGGAGGATGAACTGGACTCCATATTTCCATATTATCGAAGGCAACCTTACTGCAGTCCGTTATGTACAAGAAATGATCGAGGAATACATCTCTCAAACCGGGGATCTCATTGGCAGGGATTTTTGATTATTGGATGACAATGCCAGACCTCATGGAAGCAGAGTTGTTCAGAAAACCTGGAAATTTCCCATCTGGAAACAGTCTCCAGACCTCATTCCCATTGAGCACTAGTGGGATGCGTTGCAAAGAAGGCTTTCTGATCACCATCCGCAGCCAGTTGACCTCTATCAGCTGAGCAGGGTTACAACATCAATAGAGTGAAATTAGTGTCATCCTTATGAACAGTTTGACACTAATTGACTAAAAGATGCTTTAATAAAATAGGTCTTCTAGGGTACCTACAGCACCAACTTTTATTTTATTCATGTTGATACAATGAAATTGTAGTTTTATAATTTAATTTTTAGTTTGAACATGTTTATGATTGTAATGTGAAGCTCTCTTTGATAGGCTTTGATTAAGATGTCAATTTTGCATTTTGATATTAGACTGCTGACAAACCATGGCAGACAGGATCTTATAATTCTGTTTTTGGTTGACTGTATCCTCTGCAGGTGGCTGAGCCCCATAAGCTCATATGGACAAACAGCGATAGATACAGCATCTTTTACTTGCAAGTGTTAGGAGTGACTGTCATGTAGTAGGACGTTGTTTCTGTATTGGGCTCTGTGCCTTATTTTTGATAGCCATGTTAGCTTATTATTATGCGAAATCCCAGGTAGCGGACATTTGCCCCGTGAAACAAACAAACTATACCTACAGGCCTAACAAAGGTGCTTGACGAGATGTGTAAATCACTGCTAGCTAAATTTCATTCAGATGAAATATTTGGAAATCTTGTTTGGCTAGAAAGTTATTTGTGTAAAAGTGTCATTGTTGTTAAAGTTATAAGCTCTAGGTCTGAAGAATTAAGACCATGTTCTGGTGCTCTCTCAAGGATCTCATTTTGGCCCTATCTTATTTATACTATTCACAAATGACATTGTTGATAAAATAAATGTTAATGTACTGCACAGAGCAGCACCTGTCTGGCTCAAGAACAGTAACAATAATGTTTATGATGCGATGGCACTGCAAGGAGAACTGGTGAATGAATTGGGAGAATGAACTTAAACAGTTTTTCTAGTCTATATAGACAGTAGACTAAGTAGGTGGTAGAATGATGGAAGGTAAGAAAGATTTTTTAGGCTTTGTAATAATTAAAATAAGATGAAAAATTCCATTGGAATGAGAAGTATGTAGACCTAAGGAGAGAACTTTAACTAAGGTTATGAAAACTACAGCTTTTTAAGTCGGTATCGAAGGATTTTTTCTGTGCTTGGGTACTTCATTGAGTGCGAATGGTTTTGGCGGGTGGGAGTATGCTATGCCGCAAATTTAATATCAAATAACATATTTTTAAATAAAAAATTTCATACATCTTTCTACAGATACACTTATAGTTTTGTAATATTTCTCCATAGATGGGAATTATCCTTTAATCAATTTATTCAATATTTAAATGGTGAACATTGGACAAAGCTGTTAGATAAAAGTGTTTTTATTGTATTTTATTTCATGTTATTTTGCGTTCACAAATAAGCTAACAATAAGACAAACCCCCCCCCCCATGATTGATTGACCATGATTAAGTCTACTATTAATTTCTTGTAAATAATGGAATTTGGAGTAATGAAAAAAATAATACCGTTATCATTTCATAGAGTAGCCATCAAATAATAAATTGTTCATGAAATTACATGTCTAATTTTGAAATATGTACAGTAACCTTTTTGAAAATCTAGCCAGCTCATTTTTATTTCCCTAAAAATGCATAAAGTAAAGAGCGTCAGTATAAATGATTTTTACCAAACAATTTGAAATATTGTTTTTCCTGACTGCGCTGCTTACAAGCCTATTGTACGTGCTAGTTAGTATTCAGCAAACAGGCTGCAGCTTATGGACCCATCTCCTTGAATTCCAATGCGGTGACCATTTCCGTTCAGATTTGTCGAGTTACACTGACAAAATAATCTCACTCATGTGCCTATTCAAATATCCAACGTTGGAAATACCTTAGTTCAAGAATCTATTTTAGACGGTTTCAGTCGTTGGTTTTAGATTATATGTAGTTATATAGTAGCTCGTAGATTTCATTAAATAATATAAGAAACTGCTAATTTGTTTCAGATATTTCAAACAGATATGAAAATTTGAATAATTTTACACTTAGTTCAGTCAATGATTATTGAATTATTTTTAAACTATATTAAGTAAGATAAGTACCATATAGGAGCCCTGAAGATGGCAATAAAAAGTGCCGAAAAGTTGGAAAAGTAGCATTTATTTTTAAAAAGATGACTAGATGTTCCATTATAGGTTGAACATTAAAAGACTAGGGTTGAAAAAAAAAAAAAAAAAACATCTAAACATAATAACTAAATATAAAATATTTTTTAAATATGAACGGCCATAAATAAAAAAAAAAACAATTAGAGGAAATAAAAAGCAGTTATTAGACTAAAGATAATAAAAATAAACTTTAAATTAAAAGGAAAAAGAAAAGGATTTTGGGAGAAAACAAATAAGGAATTATGCCATGTAGTAACAGTTATATTTAATATGAACAAATATTCTACAAAATACTGTTTTGAATAATTTTAAAATTCATTATTTAAATTTTTTTTGTTCTTGAATCGAGGGATATTGCACATCTAAATAGTCTTTGAGCGAGTTACACATTGTTCTTGCAGAACTACTGCGATGTATAAATTTATTTACAGCCTCGTCCAATTAAGTGGCAAGTCTTCCATTTAGAAATGATCGATTTATAATGACGATGATATAATAATGAAGCTAATTATTTTTTAAAAAAATTAACGCTAGAGACCATTGCACTTATTTATGGGCAACTTAAAGATTGATATTTCTCTGTTTTTTAAATAAACTATAATTTACTTTGGCTTAGCCATACACAGTTAGTTTTTAATTTGCCCATTTGATATATTCACATTGTTAACACTTACAATAATTAAAAAATTTGAGACAACTAACTTACAGAAGAAAACTAACAAACTATAACAATAAATAACAACAAAAATGATTTTCTTTTTTTATTTATTAAAACTTTATAATTAATTATTTGTAATTATTTATATAATTTATAGTTTAATAATGTTGTTCATTTATATGTAAAAGAAGTAAACTTTTATCGAATTCAAAAAGTTTGAATATACGTAAAAGCCAAAGGTCTAGGATTATAATACTGTTTTCTTTTTTAATTTCACTTTTTCTTTTCTTTCTTTTATTAATGTTTTTTTTATTTTTCAAAATGTTCCAAATATATTTACAAGAAATTACAAATATACGACCACTGGACAAAAGACAAAAGCACCGTTATACACAAGGATATTATCTACAGTGTCTGTACATATTTACAAGAGGGCTATGTCGGTGCAGTATACCAATTAGGGGACGAGGAGTTGGGTTTGTTGTAGAGGTGGAACGCCGGGGCGGGGTTTGAGGAATAGAACTGGGGCTGTTCGATAGAAGTCGTCGGATAGGGCTCCAAGGGATGGACGGGATACGGTTGGGGCTTCAATGGCAGTGGCTGCGCGGGGCCTTCGATGTACTGCGGCCTCAGGACTTCCGGGTAGCCGACAGGAGGGCTGTCGAAGCCGGAGTGCAGCGGTTGTTGGTGTTTGTCCCTCGGCGAGACGGAACTCGGCGGGGTCATCGCGGAATGATAGTCCACCGTGTAGTTATGGTACAGGGGAAAGTCGTTTTTCTGGATGTACTCCTGGGGGTAGGAACCGTCGGAGCCCGGGGGGGTTGGCAGAGGTCCCATCTCGGGTCCGTAATATCCCGAGGGCCTGGTGACGTTGGCCCTTATCACGCTCTCCCTGTTGGCGTACAGTTGACGGAGGAGGGTCGAAGCGGGCAGAGTGCTGCCGGGCGGTGGCTGGTTCAAAGCTCCTATCCATTGTATCGTGCTCCTCTGCTGCTGCGCTTTAAGCAGGGCGTCCGTGCTGAAGTCCGTGTGGGCTTTGTCCGGCGGCGGGAGGTGCTTGGACATGGCCTGTTCCAGCTCCTTCACCGTGCCTCCGGCTCCGTCCGAGTCCTCTTGGCCCTTGGGGCTGCTCGCCAAGACGGACGACTGGCAAGAGGAGCTGGCCGGGCTGAGGACCGGGTACCTCTTCCTCACTGGAGCTTGCCTCTCTTCTTCTTCAGAGCTACACGAACTCTCCTCCTCACCGACTTTTCTCTTCACACCTCGTCTTTCCCCCACGAGTTTCTTCATCGGTCTCGTAAGAACTCCGCTGATCTGAAAAAAAAAACAAAGTACATTAAACTTCAATAAAAAAAAAACCCTGAAAATAACATTTGAAATACAACAGAAAAGAACTTGTAATCGTAAAATTTTAGTGAGCAGTTTTAAACCACAAAAATGAACAGGGATATTGCCAATTTTGTAAAATTTACTTTCCCTAGCAATTTTTATTTTATTTTTATTATAAATTGCATTAAAATAATTGCATAATAAATAATAATTAAATTGGAAATTATGTTATACTGAAGAAAAATTTAATTAAGCGATTTTGAAAAATAACAAAATAAAAGGCTTCCACAATTTTGTTTTTCGGACACAATAATTTTTTAAACACTTAATATCGTGTTTTTTTCTATTTGTTAACTAAAACCTGTGGGCACCTGTCAGGTTGTCACTAATTATATAAGGAATTTCACTACATTGATGTTGCAACGCTGCACGCAGTTGGAGGTCAACTGGCTGCGGCCTACGGATGGTGATCGGAAAGCCTTCTCTGCACGCATCACACACGTGCTCAATGGGATTGAAGTCTGAAGACAATGGGAGAAAGGTCAGATGGGAACACTGCTTCTATGAGGTTTGGCATTGTCATACAGAAATCGATAATCACTGCCAATGAGATCCCTGGTTTGAGGGATGTATTCCTCGATTAATGTCTTGGACATAATGGACGCAGTGAGGTTGCCTTCAACATGGAGTCCAGTACGTCCTCCAGTGTAAATCCACCATACCGCCTCCTCCCAACGCACTGAAAGAAGCTTGAATTGGGGCATTGTACGTATCCCTTGTTTTCGGTTGATTCTTCTGTGCCTCCTATCACTATACAGACATAAACGCGACTCATCAGTAAGCATAAAAGTATTCCAATTGATGCCCTCTTCTAGATGCTCGCTGCGCATATTCTCCTGAGTTGCTGATGGCGCGCTGCTGTTGGAGGTCGTCTCAAAGGGGCATACGACGTGAGGACAACTTTCCGCAAACGATTACAAATCGTTTGTGTTGATAAAGGTCTTGCCATAACATCTAGAAGTTCATTTAGGATCAGGCGGGCACTACGGAAATGGTTCCATCTTGCAGCAATGACAATATTTCTGTCCTCTCTTAGCGTTGTAATGTGCTGAGATCCACTACCAGGACTCACAACTATTGGCAGTTCCAGTCTCTCGGAAAAGGGCTAAAGCCCCTGAGAAATGCCAACTGCTTCAGTGATATCCACTTGCCGGTGACCTCGATGACTCGAACTGAGTAATCTTCATGTTTTCTTAAGTAAACCCGTTATTACATTTTTTGTATTTTCTACTTTGGTTTATCCAACAAACAAGAATATATCGGTTAATTTAATTAACATTAATAGAATAAGAATAAATTACAAATATCCCTAATCATTTTTGAGCAGTTTAGAACTATTCGGTCAAAAAGGATCATTTTCACTTCTGGCTTTGGAATTAATCTTTTTTCTACCCTATCGGCACTTGTAAAAATGAGAACCGATAAGTGGAAAAGCGAACCTGTTGGTGTTCCCCGGCATGGATCTGATCCATGAGTCCACGACCCCTCTGATCACCCTGAACATCAGGCGTCTCATCGTCCAATTCCGACGGGCCTAGATGTCTGTCAGGGAGATGTGCATTCCCTCCACTCCTCCCTTCTGAAAACAAGAAAATCGAATTTGTAACATAAGATTTCGAAACAAAAATCATTGAAGAAAAAATTCATTATGCATAACAGAAAATTCAACTCTATTAAAAGAACAACAAAATCTAAATTGGGCAGTTATAATGGTTAAAGGAATCAAGAATGTGATAATAATTATTAACTTTTAATCTATTAATCCACATATTTTCAACTTTGCGGATAGATTATCATTATCATAAATGATTATTTATATCGCTTTATGTATTGTAGACAGACCTTCTACATTTTCTCAAGTACAAGTTCTACATTTTGTTATCCATATGTCCAAAATAAATATTTAAAAAATAGGACTCCGGCCATTGTTAATTTTTCTTATAATGCTAGTCGGCTATTTGATCGTCCTTTAAAATAAGCACCGGCTTTCGAAACATGACTCGGCCGAATGGAAACGTGTCGTGAATTTAATAGCTGAAGCCCGGTAGCGTTCGGTCTACTACTCAGAAAACTTTCCCACAGTTCGTGCCAGCCTATTATTTCGGAACCCATGCAAATTAGTGATGTCATCGGAATATTTTTATTGAAACGATTGGTAAATTTTGACAGGCATCATGAAATAAAACAGCTTTCGAACGCAACAACAGTAATCAAAGAAGAAAAAGGATTTTTAATCATAAAGCACTAAAATGTATGAATTGAAATATATGTTTCAAAATTCATGGATTTGTAATTATAGTCAACGAGAGGAAAAATCAACTATGACAGACCATATTAAATGGCCATAGGTAACAAAGATATTTGGAGTCAGCTCCACAGTAGAAAGCTACAACAGAAGGACATAAAATAATTTAAGTGCCTTATGAAGATTTTAATTCATTTATTAAAAAATTGAATGGCAGAGAGTGAGTAATAACAAACTTCGGGAAATTAAGGGTTCTGTCAAAGAGTGAGACACACCCTTACGAAAACCCAGGGAAGAAGAAACAACTCTGGCTAGACTGAGGATAGAGCACTGTCCATTGACGCATGGTCACAATGTCCCGAGACCTGCTCCAGTGTCCAGATTGACGAGAAATAATCGTTGTTAAACATATTTTAATAACATGTAAAAACTACATAGACAGAAAAATACAGAAAAAAGGCCGGAAGTCGCAAGGGAGATGGCTCCCATGATTTGCGGCTAACAGCATATTTTCAAGGTAGTCATGACCCTTGGTAGTTGACATTTACAAATACATGTAAGATGTGAGGAAAAAAATAGACGCCTAGTATGGTAGGTACACTGATAGATCAGAAAGAACGTGAATAGGGGTTGTCCCAATTATCTTTCAAGGGAGATCCATGTAATCCAACTCTGAGTACAGGAGTTTATAAGGAATATAAAAGGTGCACGGATTTTCGCTCAGCCAGGCGTTTCATTTTTGCACCAAATTAGTCTGGTAATGTCTAAATTGCCGATGGTCCTATGAAAATAAAACAAGGTTATCTTAAAGTAGGTACCGGGACATGAAGGTATAGAGTTATAGTTATTAGAGTTATGAAGGTATAGGTTGGAAAAAATTCCATACGAAAGAAAAACTCAAGCGTAGTCAAAATCTGGTTGACTAAATCTAAACGAAAACAAACTACCCAAAAACTAGGCAGTGAAAGATTATCAAAGTTATGCTTCACATGGGCAATAACTACAACCCCATCAGATGCCTCAAACTCTATTAAACCTACTTCCATTTTTCACATAAATATATAAGGAGAAGCTTGAAAACGCTCATGACGTGCGACAAACATTTCTGACATACAATAGCAAATAACTGCCACCCATTCCTAGCAATAGGGACTGATTATATGATCCCGGAAACATACTTTGCAACATGTTTTAACTATGAATAAAATGCAACAGACTACTTAGGAGGAAAAGAAGAAATAAGGAGAGTATCAAATAAAATTATATAGTAGGCAAATGACTCCAAAACTAGTGAAATAACACTAAGCAAGCCTTCAAAAAAGTAACAATCAATGCTAGTATTTATTGTCATAGAAAATCTTAAAAGAAGTAAACGACAAAAAATTCTAATAAGAGCAAAGATACAAGAGCTAAGAGCTCGTATAAAGGTGAATACATCCGAAATCTCGAAAAACATTATTATGTCAGAGAGAAAAGTAATTAGAGTAATTATCAAACAAACTAACTGGCCAGAACGCCATCAAACATAAACTCCATCTCAGAATGGGTCCATACAAAACAAAATGAGAAATGGATTAACTCATGAGGTGCCAGGCACAGTAAACTCATGGTAAAGGAGCCTCACCCAACTGCCAAACACACTGCTCCATTTGTAAAGGGTACAATTAAGGATGTCATACCGGTAACCGGCATCTGAGAAAATACTCCCATATATGGGTAGATTCAATGATGACCCTATTTAACGGTTATGCAATGAAGAGGAAGAAACAGGCATATGAAGCAACTGCTCAATTAAGACATAATCTGAGGAAACAAGAAGACTGGGGAAAAAGAATTGCAGCAATGACAGTCATTGACCTACTACTACTGCTACTACTAATGAAGTATCGAGTAAGATCTTAAACTGAACTAAGAAACTAGGAAAAGTTCAATAAACCAGAATGCTACAAAACCTCCGCTTCCTAATATTCATCATCAATAAGATCACTCCAAAATATACGAATAATAAAAATATATTAAACTCGCAAGGTTTTGAAATTATGCTATTCTTTATTTCCTTTTTTTGGTACTTCTTTATACATACAATCCATATAACATAAACGACAAAAAATAAACTACATCGTTTGTAAAGTAACAAAGCGTGCAAAAACACCACGTGGTTGACTTGAATTTTGACTTTTTGGCTTGATCAGACCAATGTATACCTAACTCCTAAGTAGTTTACCTAAATCCAATATGACTTGAGGAACCTATAGAAATAATTGAGGTGGGGTGAGTAGGTCGATTCAACTTTTGTTAAAGATGGTTCTACTCAAAGAATTCCATGAGTTCTTTACAAAATTTGAAAAACCTAATCCTTTTAAATTTTTCCGTCAAAATTTACACACTTGTCATAAAAAAAGAAGACAAAAGGAAAACAGGCCATTGGCAGAAAGTCTGTGAAGCACGAGCCGTGAAGTATTTGAATACAATCGGAATTGTAGATAAGTATGCAAAGTGACCCCTGTGGGGGGAGCGCGGCCAATGGGAGGGAAGCCGTTTTCAGGTGGAAGGCGTCCTGGGGATCCGGTTGGCCCCGCTCTGTCAGGTGTCGCCCTGCGCGCGCCTCTCCACCTTCGTCCATCCCTCAAAAGCTCCGTTTCGGATTGCAAAGTTCAAACGACCACCCTAGCTATTCCAGCTTTCAGAACCCTGTGACAGTTCCAAAGCGTCATATTACGAAACTATAGCTCTGCGAAGATTATATAGATTCCATAGCCGCCCTGCTTTAATTTTGACCTACATTAAGAGTCTAACTTTTTATCTATTTGTATATTTATATATAAATATATACTATATATTTATATATATTATCCCCACCTTCATTATTTCTATTAAGAGTATAATGTAAATCTTAATCGTAAATCATCAAATATACTGTCAACATTTTAACTATAAACCCTAGACCAATTGTCATTCGAAGTTGTTCGCTTACGGTCGAACTTTAGAAATCCAGCTTGTCTTTACCGTATTGTTGAAACTGAAGAAATCACAGTGGAAAAAAGTTTTAAGTCTTTCCGGGACTTCGGTCATGGAGGAAAAGTTGTACTTAAGAGCCTCGTGAACTTAACACACGTTGTATTGCATTATCTATCTTCTGGCTTTGTGGTGCCGTTTTAGTTTAACTGACTGATGAGACGAACAACTTACGGGAACAAAATTATATGTAAATATTAGAAATAGATTAATCACATCACAGATTTATAGTAAAAAGATAAGAAATTGTAAATATTAGTGTGTGTAGATCGGTTTATGCTAGTTAATTGGGTATTCAATCGAGAAGGAAAGGACGAAGGAGAGAAGGAGTGAGTTAGGAAATGGGAGTGAAAGAGATGCAAAGATGGGGGAGAGAGAGAGAGAGAGAGAGAGAGAGAGAGAGAGAGAGAGAGAGAGAGAGAGAGTGGGTGATAGTTGAAGCGTGATAGATAGGGTGGGAGTGCGAGGTTGGGTGAGAGGGGGAGGGAAGGAGAGAAAGAAAAAGGAAGAAGAGAGCTAGAGAGAGAGAGAGAGAGAGAGAGAGAGAAAGAGTGAGTGAGGAAATGGGAGTGAAAGAGATGGAAAGAGGAGAAAGATTAGTTAGGGTGAGAGAGAGAGGATGAGAGAGAAAGAAAGAAAGCGAGAGAAGAGTGGGAGGGAGAGAGGGTGAAAGAGAGAGAATGAAAGAGGGTGTAGGGAAAGTAAGAGAGAGAGGGAGAGAGAGAGAGAGAAGAGACAGAGAGGATGAGAGGGGGAGGGTGGGAGAGAAAGAGAAGAGAGGGAGGAGAGAGAAAGAAAGAAAGAGAGGGGCGAGGAAGAGAGAGAGGGGTGGGAGAGAGATAGGGGGCGTAAAAAAAGTAGTGAGGGAAAGGGGGAGATAGAGCGAGGGAAGAAAGAGAAGGTGCAACAGAGAGCTTGAGAATTAGAAAGAAAAATGAGACAAAGAGAAAAAGAAGAAGATAAAATATAGATAGATGGATGGATATATATATATATATATATATATATATATATANATATGGAGAGAGAGAGAGAGAGAGAGAGAGAGAGAGAGAGAGAAGAAGTGAGAGAAGAAGTGAGAGAAAAAGGAAGTGAGGCAGTGAAAGAGTGCGAAAAAGGGGAACAAAGAAAATCACAAGAGAGGGAGTGTTGGACTGAGAGGAGTAAGCGACAAAGAAAAACATTAAGTTTTTGTATGTCATAATGAAAAGAAAAAAAGGGTGCAACTCGGTTAATTTATACTGAACTGTTTTGAAGTGTATGCGTTTTGTATGAACTTTTGTTTGTATTAGTTGCGTGTGTATGTTTGCAATAATTGAATTTGCTATATGAGCTCTTTTTGACGCAAAGGGGAAGTTTTGAAAACAATATGGATCTCATTACAATACACCAACAAGTATTTTAAATTGTAAATTAAGAGAATTTGATCGAACGATTGTTAAACTTCGCTAATAAAAGTTTGGTATTGATCGTGAAGTTATAAACCTGTTGAAGATATTTTCTCTCTACCAGGTAAAAAAGTGAATGTAAAGGATGAATGGTTCCTCCCATAAAAACAGGTGGGTGGCAATAAGGATCATGGTATTCCACTTCCAAATTGGCTGGACGTCCCCGATTTCGTTTTTCAAGTATGATTCCCTCCGGTAATTGCGAATGGACAATGGATTGGCGACTTGGGGTCGGACCGGCTCAATTTCCTCCCCAGTAAATGGACAAGAGAGTGTAGCGCATTAACTTTCATGAAGTGGCCCTGATAAGGCGGCCGCCCCCAGCCCATCGCCTTTGTCCACATGTTAATTCTTCGCTTGTTTATGGCTCTCTTGTCTCTGACTCAGAGACTTTAGGTCGGAAATAAGAAAAGACGATATCTCGTGTCACCGGAGGTTAAAAAAAAAGAAGAAAATTATTAATTTCCGGGGAGATAAACCGGACATTTTTGCCTCCCTTTCTAAAAGTTTATGAATAAAGCCTTCACCATTTATGAAGAATGGTTTAGATTTCTTACCGCCGGTTTCCGATCCGGGAGATCCATTTTCGGGATCGTTTCCGCTCGTGTCTTCTCTTTTCACGCCACGGGCGTTCACGTGCTCCTCCAGCTGGCAGCAATCCATGATTAAGTTTTTGTATTCTCGACCGCTGAAAACATACAGCATAATTTTGCTTAAAAATAAAAGTATCATTTGTTTAAAACATTAAAAATATGACGCTTTGTCTGGTGAAAGAACTCTTTAAGAAAGGCTATTGGAATTAGATGAAATGCGGGATGAAGTCTACTGGACTATTGATAAATTAACGGCGCAGTTTAGAGTATTTATTCGGAGATTGTGAGGTGCGGTCTGGTATGACGTAGGTTTTAGAAAAATATTTTCTTTATCATGCCAACGTTTCGACCTTTATTGAGATCATCTTCAGGGCTCAAAGTGTTTGTTTTCTGCGTAATTGGGTCATTCTTGTGTGTCGTGTTGAGAGTGCCCCACACGACACACAAGAATGGACACAATTACGCAGAAAACAAACAGTTTGAAACCTGAAGATGATCTCAATAAAGGTCGAAACGTTGGCAGGATAAAGAAAATGTTTTTCTAAAACCTACGTCACACCAGGCCGCATCTCACGATCTCCGAATAATCATTGACTAACGGTCACTAACCACCACACATTAGAGCATAAAACTCACTTATTTAGTCCATTTATGTTTTAGTAGTCAATTGACCAAGTTACTTCTTCCAATTAATTATTCCTTTTATGTAAGGTGCCGGTTGGATAAAAAAGTCAGTGTCACGAGCGGGATTCGAACCCACGACCTTCGGCTAAATACACCGCTGCTCTACCACTCGAGCCAGCGTGACTTCGTGGTTCGAATCCAGCTCACTGACGTATTTATCTCAACCGACACCTTACATAAAAAGAATAATCACTTGTTTAGGTTGTAATGTGAACCTCCCATGCTGCAAACATGGAGGTGGATTTGTTATAGACAATGTCAACAAGAAAAATCAAGTTAACAATTAACCTTATATCATCGATTAAAGGATCGCGAAAAGTAAGTGTAGGAAGAAAATGAACTTGGTAATGATATGTTACTCACCTGACAACGTAGTTGACGCAGATGATATTTTGCTCCTCGGCATTCTTTGAGTTGCAGACGACAGTCGCGCAAGTCTGAACCCATGTGTAACCACCGTTTTTGTTCATGAGCCTGTAGTAGTGGGTCAATACTTGGCCTTTGTTGATTACTGAAAAAAAATCGTCATTGTAAAGTGGTGGAATTGAAAAGATGTTCATTGAGTACTTACAGTCGATATGACTTTTTCTAAGCCTGTGAGCGTCCTCACCGTGACAAAGGGTATACATATTCATCCCTGTTATTTCTTCAGCTGTGTAATCCAGCAGATCTGCGACCCTGGAAAAGTATTAGGATAAATATCGAGCATTTGACGCTGGTTTTATTTCCTTACCTCGGCTCACAGTGGGCGATGGAGAAGTCGAAGTTCAGTCTCGTGACGAACATGTCGCTTTCGAGCCTGATTTCGTGAACACTGGGCGGTGGCAGAGCGATGGCCAGCGACACCATCCCCAAAAGGGGCGGCGAGGATTTTCGGCTGTGGGAAAACTGGTACTGGGGCCTAAGTCTGCACAGGAGCAGCACGACCTGTAAAACCATGTCGCTCAGAGGGTTGTTTATCCGTTCGCCCCTTGTTGATTGCCCCTAACGAAGCTCCTTCTGATCTCGTATAATGGAAAGGGTTATATTATTGACTTAGAGGGGCTTATAGGACTTGGCCACAACTGACAGACCTTATTTCCAATATACTCTCAGACACGGCAAATCCAATAGGGGGTTTAACCCACCACAAGACAGATATAACAAAAAAAAAGTTCACTTACTCTATATCCAGAGGATTTGAAGTGGCAGCCTCTTTTCGTAAGAGTTGATTTCATTCTGATGCAGAATGTCCTGTCGTAGCCTTTATAATTTGAAGAATTTAAGGTCATAACCGTCGAAACTGCAAACAAAGAGTTAACTTTAGATTATTTCTGTAATGTTAAAACTAGCCCAATAGTAAACTAACCCTGTGGTCTTTCTAGAATCAAAAAACTTTCTAACATTTACGCACAAAAATGTCTAATTGTAAAATGTACTCGTTTACAAAACCAGAGTTGAGAAATACAATGAATGTACACAACAAAAAATTGACAAATGTTGGGGTTGACCAGGTCTCGAAATAATCATAATGCATAGTTAGGTTTATCCCGTGACATCTTACTTGATAAATGCGTTTATGCTTTTTGCTAACATTCCACCCTGAAATTTTTATTAACCGTCGGCCCGGGGTGTGGAGTGGCTTTTCGGTGAATATGCCCCGTGCTCGGAGTTAAGTTATTTCCGAAGATTCGTCTCGGTATTTCTTGCCGGGCAGACGCTCCACGGTCTACAATGAACTCCGGGGATCCCGTGAAATGTGGCCATTCTGTCTGAGGGCAAACAATGTCAGAGGTGGGCCCAAAACCAATCAAGCCGATCACAAAAGGACCACTTCTTCACATTTTGTTAACACTCGAAAATCCGGATCTAACACCGGAGTTGATTCGGTATTCAAATTAGGCCGAGGTACGAATGGCGCACCTGGGACGAAAACGACATTTCCGAAGTCGATCAAAACCGATCACAACATCCTGGCTGAATCATGACTGAAATGGCAAATACGAAAACAATGCCAGGATAGAGAAAATTACAGAATAGTGTTAAAATAAAAGACTTTAAAGATTTTGCATCAACGGCTTTAATGCCGAGTCAATTTTATTTCATTATTATTATCACGTAATCAACAAAATAATTGCATATACGGGGTGGCTGGCGGTAAGTGTAGAAAATTCCAGGTTCTTCTACTCACATATGCAACAAAAAACTTCTTTAAACCCCTGTCCAAATCTCAACGGTAAAGAAGTAATTTCAGGTTTTTTTTTTTTTTTAATTTTTCGACATAGATCCACTAAATTGCCTATAAACTTAAGAATTACTGCCTGTTGAAAAATCTGGCTTGTGCCACCTGAAAGTATGTTAAATTTACTGTAAGAAAACCTATCTACATTGCAGTATGATGAAAAAATTCTGCACGAAAAATTCAGGAAAAAACAAAAATGTGGAAATATGGAATTTTTTGAAAATGTTGGATTGGTAACTGTTAATAACTACAAACTCCTGGAGCTTTGCACATTCACTCAAAGGTTCTCCATTCAATTCGTTTCCAGCGACATACCCACCTTTTTGGATTGCGCTTCTGGAAGGCCCGAATATTTTGCATTTTATTCGGAGATCATGAGGTGCGGTCTGGTGTGACGTAGGTTTTAGAAAAACATTTTCTTTATCGTGCCAACGTTTCGATCTTTATATTGATCATCTTCAGGGCCTGGGATTTATAAACATTGTTTAAATTTTACAAATACATGTAGCATGTGAGAAAACTGAATTTATACAATGCTCGAAAATTTTAGATAAAAAAAGTGGATTTATACAATGATAGAAAATTTTAGATTAAAAAAAAAGTTTTAGATTAGAGTTTTAAAATCTAAATTTTTATATCATTTTACAAGTTCATCTTTTATCTAAAATTTTCTAGCATTGTATAAATTCAGTTTTTTCACATCCTACATGTATTTGTAAAATTTAAACAATGTTCATAAATCCCAGGCACTGAAGATGTTCTCAATAAAGATCGAAACGTTGCCACGATAAAGAAAATATTTTTCTAAAACCTACGTCTTACTAGACCGCATCTCACGATCTCCAAATAATCATTGCCTAACGGTCACTAAATACCACACATTTTGCATTTTGTTGAAAAAATCTGGTATCCATGAAGGGGGCACGCTCAATTTTTCCAGGATATCCGTCTGGCTCTTGAGTTTCGTATCGGTTCTTTATTGTTCAATTCAATCAATTTGCTTTATGTGATCGGCTGACAACGTCCTCACAGTGGTGATTTAAATTAGACCTTTGTTTCCTAATGAACATCTTGCTGATATCCATTTCATTTACTGTTACTGCCATATCGAGACGTTCCAGCAGATCGCACCTTCCAACGACTTCATCCCAGGCTGAGGGAAACTGGTTCTTTCACCCGAAGAATGAGGGAAGGCAATCAACGAATTGATGGAGATGAGGAAATTTTGCATCATTATCTGATAATTATTGTGCTCCTTTTTATTAATTATAAACGTTGTAATTACTTCTAGAGCCCTGATAAAGTCCTCAATAAAGGTTGAAAGCTGGGCATAAGTTTCAAAACTTACTTTTTTGATTACCGCGTCCCTGATTTCTAACTTATTAATGATGAAGTAAATTGTTTAATAAAAGTCGGCGACTTCCCCAAACTACGTCAAACTTCATGGTGTAGCTCAGGGCAGTGTATGTACTGCCGTACCATATCACGTATAAACAGCTGTTCTTCCATACAACCACCCTAAGCATTGCTGAGGAATCTGATCCAGCAATTTCCATCACTTGGTGTGAAGAAAAATAATAAAATTGAGTCGCGAAAAATCCACTCACGTAACTCTCAGCTAAAAGCTCCTTCATCTAATCTACTTCCGTCATTCAGTTAAATATTCCAGCATCCACCCCATCCAAACTGCCAATCTCTAATTACTTTTGGCCAAGATGTAGTCCATCCTGTTGTTCCACCACAAATCCTCAAATAGAAAAACTCTCCCGACAGATTACCTCCAACCACCTCACCGAGAAAAAGACGATGGCCAAAAGATCTTCTTTCAGTGATAATGAAACTTACCTCATTAATTAGGGAATCCTTAGGACCCATAGGAGTATTGCCAATATTGAAAAGTGGACTAGGTCGTCCGAAGAGTTCTTGCGTGTCATGAGCATGATTGGTAGATGGTCCCGCAGAATCAAAACCTCAGAAGGATCGTCCTAACCCGACTCAGAATTGGCCATACGCGGTTGACAAACGGACTTTGGGGCCAAATCTCTTTTATGTGCCCAGCATGCACAGAAAGGTGACTCCCATAACTGATAGGAATCATTCCTTGGCTCTATATAGGAAGCGAGTACAAATGCCGCCCGAAGTAAGAATTGTGTTTGAGAACTTTGGATCCCCTATTCCGATTTTTGAATAAAACTGTAGTAATTCTGTATATACATTTGTTTATAGGTAATCCTATTGTTGTATATACAAGGTGTATCAACTTTTATAGCCCACCCTTTTAATTAAAAAACGATTAACTTTAGCAAAAAATGGTCTTATACAAACTCCAAGTTAATTTTAGCTAGGAATCGCGTGGTGGTACCAGATGTATCATAACTTTCTCATCTAGCTGAGCAATGATACTAACTTTGTTACTTTCAATGAGAATCCCTTATTTTTATTGTACAATTCGATCCTAGAGCTTATTTTATGCCACTTTTACTGAAAGGAAAATTTTGATAGGATCGACCATTTCTAAGTTATGTCCGACAGAAGACACGTGAGGGGGTATGATTTTTTAAACAAAACTTAACAAAAAATTAACTTGGGGTTTGTATAAGACCATTTTTTAGTTAGAAGTTAATACACCCTGTATACTAAATTCGGTGGTAGATGTTTTAACTGATTCATGATAATGTATTTATATGCGTGAATGTTTGTGTAAGAGAAAAAATGGTGGAATATCATGTCTATCGACCGTCAATTAGACTAGGTATTGAAAGTATAGTTGTTTATATGAGGATAAAGTGTGATGGAAGACTATCTAGTAGATACTTAGACTTAGGCATAGATAATCAGCATACTCATCGAGCATTTCGTCAATTTGGTTATGGTGTTAAGTCCCATAAAAGTGTACTTTTATTTTCCAACTATGCTTCCAAATATTTGTAAGCTTCATCACATTTCAATCATTACAAGCGTTTGATTTTTTTCGTTGTAGCCTAACCAAAAATCGTTTAATGTTGCCTCAAGCATTTTGCCATACTTTTTTGCATTTTTCTGACTACAATTCAAACCAGCTGATTAGTATCTACAACTAATTTTGGTGAAATTTTGTATTTTCTTCTCTTCGCCCTCTTTCGGTGGAAATACAGTTAAGGGAAAACAAAAAGGCCGTCCTATTGTGTTTTATTTCTACTTTTCCACCGGAGAAGAAAAGCTGGGCCGCGTGTCGAACCGCATGACAGGGCGGACAGTTTTGATTTCACAGCCGGGAATGGGATCGGCTCGTGTTCGGACCGGGACAAAAACGGACACGAGTCGAAGCAAAAATGGCAGCGGAATCTGTCAAGACACGGTCAAATTATAAATTTTAAACGACAAAAGGCTTTACGCTACCCTCTTTTCTCGATTTGGAAAATTTGTATAAAGCCTGTATCAAACTGGTTTCGGCTTGTTTATTTTTAAATTTTTTTTTACTAAGGAACTGTAATTTGTTATGGAATTATCTAATACGTTAAAACGTTAATAGCCGATACTTTGGCACCGACCCAGAATATTAGAGTTCAAACAACTCTAAGTACCTCATGTCAGATATCCAATTAGCTCTCAAAACACTAATCAAACATCATTAACTAGAAGATGGGGCTGACTTCAAAACCTAGGCAAATTAGGTACCCAAAATAAAGTTACTCTCTCCCAAGAAGGAGAGGATTAGAAGGAAACGAAAGAGCGGATGCCCTTGCAACAAAAGAAGCTGCTATACCGCTTATAAATTCTGAACCATTCTTAGCATTGGGAATCAGCATCTTAGACAAAATGAAAAACCTAACAGAATTCTTAACGCAAACTAGATGGACATCTGAACAAGACTGGTATAACCCAGAACGGTAAGTTAGACAAAAAAGCCGAGGCGGCAACTAACAAACTGTGGCAGGAGGATGTTTTGGGATGTAGAACATTGCCGTAGAAGAACTTCAACTGAAACTGGGCTTAGTAATCAAGTTTCTTGATGACTCACCAGTGTGCTATAGCTAGCCGTAGAAGACTTCAACCGAAACTGGGCCTAGTAATCAAGTTTCTTGACGACTCACCAGTGTGCTATAGCTAGCCGTAGAAGAACTTCCACCGACTCTGGGCCTAGTAATCAAGTTTCTTGACGACTCACCAGTGTGCTATAGCTAGCCGTAGAAGACTTCAACCGAAACTGGGCCTAGTAATCAAGTTTCTGGATGACTCACCAGTGTGCTATAGGTAGCCGTAGAAGAACTTCAACCGAAACTGGGCCTAGTAATCAAGTTTCTTGACGACTCACCAGTGTGCTATAGGTAGCCGTAGAAGAACTTCAACCGAAACTGGGCCTAGTAATCAAGTTTCTTGACGACTCACCAGTGTACTATAGCTAGCCGTAGAAGAACTTCCACCGACACTGGGCCTAGTAATCAAGTTTCTTGACGACTCACCAGTGTGCTATAGCTAGCCGTAGAAGAACTTCAACCGAAACTGGGCCTAGTAATCAAGTTTCTTGACGACTCACCAGTGTGCTATAGCTAGCCGTAGAAGACTTCAACCGAAACTGGGCCTAGTAATCAAGTTTCTTGATGACTCACCAGTGTGCTATAGGTACATAACTTGGGATACAATAGCTCTCAAAGGGCACAGTATATTACACACCCCGAACATTACGTCGTACATTTTAAAATATTGATAGCACAGTGCACATAAATATTGTATTATTTAACAGCTATAATTATTTGAAATCTCGCTATCCTTTACAGAAAAAATTAGTCAGATTGCCATTATATAGGAATCTCCCTTTCTTTTTTCAAATTTAATTTTTGAAAACATTATTGCGCATGATACAAATGCACACTAATGCTTGGCTGTAAAAAGAAGACGCAGAAATGACATCACGTAAAGAATATGTAAATAAGAAGGTATCGAACAGCGAAGTTTTATTAGAACGGACCGTGGACATCAGAAACAAAAACAATAGACGTCTTGCCAAGCATTCGAAATATTTGGAGGAAGGTCGTAAATATTGTTGTTTTTGTGTCCTATGAACACACTAGTAAAAAAATAAGTACAAACATCTCGATGTCAACTTGGTATAAGCAGAAAAACAATAAGATGTGCTAGATAGATCAGAGTGACTTTATGTTTAGCTTTAAAATCTAGGTGGAGGCCACTGATGATGTCAACAGTAAGCATCTAGAATTACTTATGGTTTGTCCAAATCTATATTTATGGGTAGGTTCCAAACGTACCACAGGGCACCGGAAATCATCTCAGTCATAGAGTATGTGTTGTGTAGTTGGCCCCTTTTAGTAGTCAAAATAGGTTGCTCATGACCATAGAGCGATCATACTGTCAGGGTGGATAACCTCGACGGAAATCAGCCGTTTGAGCCCCGAATTGGCACAATTGCAGATGCACCGGCAAGGAAAATTCATTTTCTATCAATTTTACAACTTCAGTTGGGGAGGGGGCACTCACAGGGCATGGTCATCATGTCATCCTGCAGTTAATCGTCCTACAGTTTTTAACAGCTCAGAAAACCAAAGACAGGCCAGATTAGTTTTTCATTTTTATAAGATAGCATAAACGACCTCTGAGTGTTAAAACTACTTATAATTGCACGAAAGTCGTGCATTTGTTAACTTCTCCCCCCACACGCAATCTTATTTTCTTTCTAAGATTGTTTTCATTTTATGATATCAGTTTAAGTTCAATTTTTTTATTGCTTACATATCTCCGAAACGCCAAATATTAACCTTTAAAAGAAAGAAAATAAGGGCTTGATTCTGACAAAAATATGGGAGACGTAGGCGTAAGAACATTAGCTGATAAATTAAAACAGTAGCAAAACGCTAGGCGATAAACTTTAAAAAAATGTAAGAAGTCATTGAAAATTGAAGTTACTAGATCTAGAATTTCATCGTCATCCAACCTATCTGATGGCGGATTGGAATATAAAAAATTTCGCAACTCATGGTAACCTTAGTAATTTATTCTAAACGTACCTCGTAGTCGTTAAGAACGCTACAGTTTGACCGGCACGCAAAACCCAAAATGGTTTCGACTGGTACGTGACTTATTCTAACTTCATAAAGTTTGTAATTTGATGTTATTACGCAACTGTAACTACTACAGGTTATGTCAGTTCAATATCGGACCATACACTGGCGAACCATATGCCATGACGGATATTAAACAAAAATATACACCTTGTTGTAAGCTGTAATAAAGTAAAAACGATTCAATTAATACCTGGCGACGACGTGCCTCCTTCTTCAGAACCTTGGGGTGAACCAATGGCCGAACCCTGGCTGAGGCCGAGTCCCAGCTGCTCAGCGACCTCGCTGTGGTCTTGCTGGTGGACGTAGTCAAAAACGCTACTCCCTGTCATTTCAACCTGAAAAAACATTTCCAAGGGCTATTAGTGTTATGAACAATTATTTTATTTCCTAGCAGCGTTGATCTGTAGTGACTCAATAATTCCGGATACTGATCACTATATAAACTCGCTAGATAACTACATTTGGGATATGACAATAGATAGCCATCCATTTTAGGGGAAATTTCATTTTCTATCGATGTCTACCGTTAAAACAGTCAGGGATGGTAAAAAATTATATTTTTTAAATTGAGTTAAAGTGATGTAACCAATTACTGTAAATATTTCATAAATGTCTATTGATGACGTCGAAATAACCCTAAAAAGACACTTGAGTGGTTATACGCTTAAGAAGTGACGTTTTTTGATCAAACTGATGACAAAAGTGCGGCCATTAGCAGGCAAAGAGAGTAATTTCTCAATTATGTCCTTGACAGCCCATTTCTCCTTGCATTGGTAGTAACCCCCCATTTATTTTCAATTAGGTTACTTAGTATTTTGAAATAGAATATATCGATTTCCTTATTTTAAATTGTAGCACCTATTTTTCTGTGTGTATCTAAAAACTACGATTTTTAAAAATGATATTTGGTTTTGGTTTCAGATCTCTATCTCAATTTTTCACAGTTATACAATTAAAACATTAAAAGAGGTCGGGAAGTAGGTTTTTAGTTTGATTAATTAAATTATTATTTGATTACTTTTATTTTGATGTTAATTGTGCTCAAATGTCCACCTGCTTGAAAAAACCGCTCTTTTGTACCACTCAGTCGTAACTGGTTGGGCAATTGATCATCTGTCTATTGTCACCGACCGGCACGCTACATTACATATTCCTTCCAGCAGTTCTTGTCAGCTAGTTTTAGGGGATAAATCGCCATAAATCCGATTTTTTAGGTACACCCAAAGGAAAAATCCAAGGGCGTCAAATCGGTGACCTAGTCATTCATGTGGACCTCCTTTTCTAAACCGACGATTTCTAAACTTCTTGATGAAAATTCGTATCACATCATTTGTGTCATAAGACGGGCAACCGTTGAAAAGAGCACATCTTCCAACAAGCAATTCGTGAAGAAGTTTCGTAAAAAATTAAATAACCATCTGTTTAAGTCCATTAGATTAGTGATGGTGTGCAGAAGAATAGCAGGAAGAAACTGGGGATGTAGGCCAGAAACCCTGTTAGGATGTACACCATAATAGTAAGACCTTTACTTACATACGGAGCTATAGCCTGGGCTGAAAAAGCAGAACAAATAACCAAAAGAAAAGAACTCACAATAATACAGAGACTTGCATGCATTGCATAACGGGAGCAATGAGAACATGTCCTACAATTAGCATGGAAAAGATATTAGGACTAATCCCTCTACATCACATGGTAGAAAGGACAGCACAGAAAACCATAATCAACTTTATCAGAGAGAAACCTCCAACAGGAATAAAACTGAAATGGAGAGACAGAAACAAACCGTGAAAAAACCATCCATCACTCATGGCTCCAAGAGACGACGTGAACAGGATGTTTGAATTTAACCAAAAATTCCGAATACATCTGGGTTCCAAAAAGGAATGGGAAAGAAAGGGAAATAACTCCTTTAAAAATGGCACCATCCTCTGGTACACAGATGGATCTAGAACACAAGTAGGTACGGGGGCAGGAGTATTTGGACCCGGAACCAAATACTCAGAACCCATGGGAAAACAGACCAGTATCATCCAAGCTGAGATTCACGCAATTGAAAGATGTATCCAATTCAATCTAAGTAAAGGACACAACAACAAGAATATAGCTATCATGTCAGATAGTCAAGCAGCCATCAAAGCAGTAAGCTCAAGTATCATTAGTTCAAGGATGGTGCTGAACTGCAAAAACAAATTAAACACACTAGGTAAGCAGAATAAAGTCAGCCTCTGCTGGGTCCCAGGACACATGGGAGTAGAAGGCAATAAAGGGGCTGCCACACCGCTGATAGGACCCGAACCCTTCTGTGCCATAGGAATCCACACTATTAACGAATATCTCAGACAGAAGGACAAAAAGAAAATGAAGGAACAATGGAATTCACTCATTGGACATAGACAATCCAAGAATCTTCTAACCAATTTTTGCAAGAAAGAAATCACAGAATGTGTCAAAGGAAGCAGGAACAGACTGCGAATCCTAACAGGATTCCTAACAGGACACTGTAGATTAAATGGACACCTAAAGAAAATTGGAACAATCCAAGATGGCACATGTAGATTCTGCAAGGAAGCAGGAGAGACACCAACACACTTACTAACAAACTGCGGAGCTACATTAGCCCGCAGGAGGAAATGTTTTGGGATATAAAATGTGACCATAGAAGAGCTTCAACCATTAAAACCGGGCCTATTAATCAAGTTTCTTGATGAAGTAGGACTCACCGATGTGCTTTAGGTAGAGAACGGGGGATACAATAGCTCTCAAAGGGCGCAGTATACCATACCCTGAAAAATTACATCTATATCTAAGTCCATTAGATTTCGTGGTCAGAAATGACTTTTTGATATTAATTAATCTTTACGTAAGGTATTGGTTGAAATGAAAAAATCAGTGTCACGAGCGGGATACGAACTCACGACCTTCGGCAAAATACACTGCTGCTCGACCACTTGAGCTATCGTGACTTCAATCTACTCGGACACCAACTTCCCATCTCAACCACACCTTTTCAATTTGCCCTCCTTTTTGCCATTTTTCATGTCGTGTAATCAGGATTCGATTCTCGGCGACAAATGAATAGTAAGGAAGGACTTTGAAAGGTAGGTTGAGATGGGGAGTTGGTGTCCAAATGGATCGAAATCACGATTGCTCAAGTGGTTAGAGCAGCGGCGTATTGAGCCGAAGGTCGTGGGTTCGAACCCCCCTCGTGACACTAGCTTTTTCATTTCAACCAATACCTTACATAAACATCTGTTTAAGGTTTAAAGTGTAAACTACCTGGTGTGTCTGATGTATAACATGAGGGTTTTCACCCGATCAAGTTCTAAAGTTCCAGTGATTTATTTACTATTCCAATGTTTGTAAATATGGAATGGTCTGTCCACAAACAATTGGATTAAAAATCGGGATGTCCGTTTAAAACGATATGGATGGAGGTCTAGAATCTTAACCATCTCTCTTCATCCACATGGCGCTGAACCTAGGTGCACTCGGTACGGTAGCGGAAGGACTCGCTATACAGTGATTTTGCTGAAATTCGATGCTTAGTTGCAAGGATTTGTATACTATATACAATAAAATTTTCAATTCAAATGCGCTCCCTGATCGAACACTTTTTACTATCCCAGAGATAAAGTGGATCGATGGTCGCTGACAATTCGAAAATTTCTGTTGGTACAATGCGATATCTCTGCGCATTTCACTGCCAACAAAACACTTAAACAGCAGTTTTTCTCAGACCGAAAATTTTCCTCCCAGCATATTTAAAGTTAAAAAGAAAAAGTGCCAGATAAACTAGAGAGACTTAAAAGGAATAACTAAATCGATTGAACAAGTCTCTCATTAGTAATTTTATATCCAAAATAAAACTGCAGTTTATGGTTTTATTATTAAAAAACTCCGTGAATAATTGACATAGGGACTAAAAAATAATCACTCCAATTGGAAATAAGTAAGTTGAGTTCGATATCCAGACAGACTAATAATATAGAAAAACACAAGGTTGAAAATAAAGGAGGGATACCATTTGGAATTTTTTTGTACAAAAAGCAAAAATGTTAAGGGGGTCTCACATTGGTGGGATACCGACATCTTGTTTGAATTGTTTCATGTCTGACGACCACATGGACGCTAAAACTATTCTTTTGATGATAGTTTTAACTTAGGTTATAGATTTTAGTCCTGATAAAGGCATTAAATAGGGCGGAAGCTTGAGTGCAATTTTTGAGTTTTTCTTTATGGGCCTCTTAATTTCTTCAACCAAACTGACAGGCTTTGTTGTAATAGTGTTTCGGTATGGTTATCAGCTGTGGTGGTGTTGATCAGTTGATGACAATGTTATTCCTAGGCTGGTTTTGTTAATCGTACATTTAAGGCGTTTCTTGCGTGAAAACTACCCTTAATGGACTCAACAGTTTTCCCTCATTGGTCGGACTCCCGCTGACAGACGGCAAATCGGTTTCTGCCCAATTCCGAGAGATAATTTTTATCGGGGTGTTTTCTCCGGCGCATTCCTTCACACGCTCGTCCCTGGCTTTCCCTGGCAGGGAGCCAATGTTCGAAGTGGGCAACAATAAGACATCGGGACGGCCCTGCCATGACAAACAGGCTGCCGATGAGCGGGGGTGGGCAGGAGGAAGGGGCCCTGTTTAGGAAAGCGGGGCACGACGGAGACATCAGCTATGCATGGTTATGAGCTGCTCGGACTGAATAGGCAAAGAAGTCGGCTCCTCGACGGGGCAACGTACCTGGCACTGCCCGACTTCCTGCCGGTGACATCCCTTCGGGAAAAAGGGTTCCCGATTTTATATTTACGCGCCGTTTCCGGGCACGTAGGGTGTCCACTGTAGTTTATTATAATGTCGTTACCTCTTTTTAAACTCTTTCCTACGACCCGGTGATTATCACCTCTTCGCCTACATCCTAAATTGACTGAGCCCACATCGAAAAAGACAATGGTTCCTTGATACAACAGTCCTTCCGTCAATAATTGCTTTATTGTCATTCCCCAATACAATTTCTGTAGAACTTACTTGAAAGTGAAACCCAGATTCATTGATGTCTCCCTTATGAAAAATCCTAAAGTTGAGTACAAAGTGGTGTACATAATTTTTTTGGCAATATCACTTTTTTTTCAATCCAACGAAAAAGCCCTGGAATCTTTGAGAGCACCACGTTTAGAGGTTAAAACTGAATATGTTAAAAAAAGATATTTCAGCATTTTTGAGGTTGTGTGTGCCTCCCTGAGTTTCTATTTTAACCTATTTATGGTCACCTCTTCTTTTGTTAAATAATAACGAACAAAACTAACCCTAATCAAACCTGAGTGTTTTGAGAAAAATGAAACTTAAGAACTGTTTATTATTAAGTATATGTCAATAAAATCATCTTGGAGTGTTTAATCACAATTTTGGCTAGAGTCACTTTGATTTCAAACAAAGTTTTGTGCTTTTCCAACAATACTTTGTAAACCGTTACATTGTAATTGCAAGTGTATGAAGATACTTGTTACTTCGTCAAGATCAGCCTAAATAGCAATAAAATAGCGGAAAGAGATCGTGCAGGCCGACCGAGTTGAGTAATAGAAGAGATAATACGTCAATACGGTGTCGTCCTGGTCCCATCGTGCGGATATGACAGTCGGTTATTGAACAACAGCGTATGTCCTATTGTTTTAAATAGGTCCCTCGGGAGAAAGCGGGGTTGGTGCTGCGTGTGCGGGGGCGGGAGGGTGCTACGTGCCCTTCTGGGGGCGGATTCCCGTCACGTCGGAGGCGGGCGCGTGAGCCGCCTCCCAAACCGGGTCCACACCCACCCCCAATCAATACGGGGTAGGTGCGCACCCCGGGGTAGAACTCGGCTCTTTACACTCGGAAATCACCCCCGCCCCCGGCCCGGCATCCGCGGGATCTAATAACCGTTCCGTTTCTCTTACCGGTTGCTGAGAAACCGGAGTAGCGCTCTCTCATCTTCGAACTTCCATAACAAAACCTGTCCCAGGGTGGGCGGTATAGCAAATATCTTGAATTGAGTTTTCATTTATATAGGTTAAACAAATTTGCACTTGCAGATCGAGGGGTAATAAAATTGATTTCTAATTTAGGAATTCACTATAAAATCTGGCGATCTCATCAAAAATCGTTTCCAAGAGGTGATTCTATTCCGATTTCAAGCTAACACGCACAAGTAAGGAAAGCACAGTTTTGACCCATACCCAAGCATTAATATTAATGAATGCTAACCGGACTATTATAGACTTTCTATATATAAATAAAAGGTTTATGGACGTTGAGCAGGACAGCTGAGGTCATCGCCAGTCCTCTGCATGTTTTCCTTCTTTTTCTGTACTTTCGGGCGAATTTTATTTAAACTACAGCCATTCGAGTGTCTCGATCTGATTACTGATTTTCTACTTTTATATCTATACTAGGGGTATTCACGATGTTTGTAAGATGTTAACCAGTGTTAACTAAAATAGAAAAATATCCAATAAGATCGTGAACGCCCTCTTCTCTTGTAAGCACTGAAAAGAAAAAAGGCGTCATAACAGGACTAATTTGCACCTTCCCCTTCACTATTTGCTAATGTCTAATAGTAATTAGATCATTTTTATATTGGCATTGTTGGTGGAAATCAAAACCTCTTTAGTTATTGGAACAGAGAGTATATAGTGCACAGAATATCAGTTTACAGGTCAATTTCGAAAATAGGGGTATACACGATGTTTGGAAGATGTTAACTCGAATAGAGAAAGGTCCATTAAGTCGTGAATGCTCCCTTCTTTCCTTAGCATGTTAAACGTTAATTTTTCCGCAATGCTGCTTGTGGCGATTGGTAGAACCAAAAATAAAGCTATAACAGTCCTTGAAGGCTTGCTGTTGTTTGTTTTGGTTTTCTTTCGTGTTAAATTGTAAGATGCCAAAAGTTAATAAAAAAGGAAAATTAATCAACATTTTCATTCAAAATGCTATCTATGCACTCGAAAAGTACTAACAAATGACACGCTTCAATTCGTGCCGACATACCTAACCTATACCCTAACGTCTAACAGCCTACAACTTGGGCTATTGGATAGGGGATACATCTATTATGAATGAAAATACAAATACAGATCAGAAATTAACAAAAGAAATGTTTTGGTCTGATTTAATTAATGCTTATTTAAGAATAAAAATATATGTAAACAAAAAAACAGCTGTTAAATTCATGGCTGCCATGTTGGTTACTTACGCCCTAACGGATAGAAATGATACTACATTTTCGATCTAACATTAGCCGATTCTTACAATTCTACGTCATCATTTTTCTCGATCTAACAGGACCTAACAGACTTAACAGGGGTAACACAAAGATCGTGAATACCCCTACTTTGTCGACATCCTAAAATGCTCACCACCATAAACAAAGATGAGAGATCACATTCAATCCCCCATAGTACTCGATATTCGGGGTTGAACCCACTCCATTCTCGCTAATAATTTACCTTTTACTCTCCAGACGTCATACACTCAGCCCTGAGTACTCGTATAGACGTACTATTTCTTTGCTATTGATTCTAAAAGATTTATCTTGTTCTTATCCTCTTACATTGAAGCTAGATTAAAGCTTTTAAAAACAGTAAAACATTACCATTAATGAGCATATTTTTAAACCTTAATATTAAATTTGTTTAAATATTTTAAGATTTTGCCCAGGCGAAGATAAAAAATTCAAAAAATTTGCATTGAAGAAGCTCTAGATGAGCCAAAGAGATTTCAGCACTGTCTTAGGGAGGCGAGGATTGTTTAATTAAATTTACAAAAGCAACGCTTGGCTTTCAACCCGCCGGTTTTTATAAAGTTGATAATTGCCGAGGGTAGGCACTTTTTCTTTATTTTTTTATTTTTGGAAAGGGCGAACAATTTCAGGGATTCCGGGCACGGAGGGGCCGACCTTTGTGAATGGCTAAGGAGCCACAGACTCATGATGTATTCAATGAACGGCCGCCCGCGGAGTTATAATATCTTTATTTCACCTTTCCCGCCGGGGACGGTTTCGAAGAAGACCTTAGAAATTGCTTGTTTAAAACCGAAAAAAAATCGGATTGTTTATTCATGCGGCGGGAGTAGCCGGCATCAGCCACTTCCGACAGCTTTATTAAAACCGGCTTAGAGATCAGTTTTAGATAATAGACTTCTCTGAAAAAGCCATCTTCTTTTTCCTCTCTAAGATGAATTGGCTTGATTTTGGTCAGTGAGCGACCAGCCGAGAACGCCTCGCGATCGAATTAAAACGGGCTTGGTACTAACCCTTGTGTAACGTCTCATTTTCATCTCGATGTCAGCATACCATAGAAAATACACAACCAAATAAATTCTCGCTTAAAAAACGACAATATTTATAAATATATATTTTTTAAATAGGATTTTTTTATTTAACCCAGAATGGATGCTATATTGTTCTTTTTTTATTGATAATATAATAAATATTTCCCCTTTTATTGTTGTTGTATGTAATTCCAAATGTAATTATCTCAACTAAAAATCTTAATTAATTGTTGTATGTAATATTAATTTTATATTTTCATTGGATTTCACAAAATTATTTGTTTTTATCTGAGGCATGTTCTTTTTTCAATGTTTTTATTTTTGTTTTACATAAACGCTCTTTCTATTGCTGCGATCTTTATTCAATAATCAAAAAATCTAACCAAATTTTGCTTTGATTAACTACCAGTTTCTTCATCATTTTGTTTCTATTTTTTCAAGAGATGGGGAATAAATAACATTTTTTTTAGCTTTTTAAGGCAATTAATATACCCAGCAATTAATATATATATATATATACACATACACATATGTCTACAAATTGACATAATTAAGTTTTTAATGAGGTTTTTAAATTTATGTGAAGATCAACTCAGTCCCAACATTGCGAAGTTCTGTGATCATATTTAAGATTGTTTTGCCCTGAAGATGATCTCAAAATATGTCGAAAGCTTGGCAGTAAGAGTGAATTATTTTCTTCATTAACACCAAAAATGCAGATTATTCGTGAGTTAAAAACTGGTCTATCCGTCCAAAACTATTTTGCATAATATGCCATATCCAGAGGGAGATTTCAAAATTTGGAGCATATTGCTCTTATATAACAATTTTTTTGCCATTTGCAGCTTACGATCGATCAGAAAATGCAAGTATTTTATTGCATGATAATACAACAGCCAATGATTTGTTCGCTTTTTAAGGCACCAGCCTATCATTAATTGCCTTTAAATATATAAAAGTTTAAATTAATTGTTTTGTATGTGAGTAATTTTGATTTTTGACGGTTTCCTTAAGGAATTTCTTCGATCAAAGCATGGGTAGTGTTAGAAGTAACATCACTGGTCCTTTAATTTACGACTTTAATTTTGGTAAATTCCTGCCGATTTATGTTGAAAATATGACATTTTTGTTTAGTAAATAAATTATTCTTAGATTCACTGTTTTCGTGGTCCGCGTGGCCAATTAATACAAGACAATTAATTAAGGTTTTTAGTTGAGATGAAAAAAAGTTAATGGCACGAGAGGGATTCGAACCTTCGGCTAGATACGCCGCTGCTCTACCACCTGAGCTATCGAGACCTCGATCCACTCGGACATCAACTCCCCATCTCAACTCATAAGGTGGGGTTACCCTGAAGATGATCTCAATAAAGGTCGAAACGTTGGCACGATAAACACAATGTTTTTCTGAAACCTACATCACACCAGACCGCATCTCACGATTTCTTTCAGTTAATTAATCTTTATGTAAGGTATTGGTTGAATGAAAAAGTTAGTGTCACGAGCGGGATTCGAACCCACGAACCCTCGAAGCCACGATAGCTCAAGTGGATAGAGGAGCGTCGTATCGAGCCGAAGGTCGTGGGTTCGAATCCCGCTCGTGGCAGTAACTTTTTATTTCAACCGATATCTTACATATTATCCTTAGAGTAAAATTAAAAGTCTTTTGAAGGTTATTGCTGCAGGATTTATTTTATATCTGTATCGGTTAATTAAACTAATTTTAAGTTATAAATGAGTAAATTTACCTGTGAAAGACCAAGGTAGATGGAGACTGTCTCCGAGATGTACAAAAACCTCCCGTCCGCTCCAAGGGCGAAGGCGAATCCGTCCAATGACTGAAAACAACAAGAGATCAAGAAAAATGAATAAATGTTATTAAATCCTATGCCGTTTGCCGAAATGGTCTTTTTTCTCCCACTGGGGTGAGGTTCTATGGAATCGAATGCCGAGACAAAGATTCGTATGCAGATGGGAACACAATTTCCAACGAAATCATGGAGAAAAAAACCTTTCGTTGGATACGCAATGCATTTTTGACACAATGGAAACATATTCATATTGAAATCCAATCATAATCTTTTTATGCTTGACTGGCAAATCATACATTTCAATTTTTTGTCTATTGACTTCTTATATCAGAAATAATTTAATATTTCTACTTTTCAGTTGATTTTTATACTTAATAAATTTTTGTTAGCTTTATTGACTATATTCTCTCGTACATCAAGAATTTTTTAAAATTTGATTCTAATGTTTATAATTGAATTAGGTTGAACTTTTTTCCTTTAACATAAAACTTTTCTCGTCCAGTGGAGTTAATTTTTAGGATAGGGGATTTCTTATGCTCAATTACAGTCGGAAAAAGAAAAAGAAAATTAAATAACTGTTACTTTTACTCACCTGAAGGATGTGTGTTCCTTGGTGAAGCTCGAAAATGTCCTGGGCGATGTTGTTGGCCCCTCTCCCCCGAACACCGCCGGCTGCGAAAAAAGGTACCAATTATTAAACCGTCCTCCAAGACGCAGGGGTGCTAATATCGGGGGTGAAATATGTCTTAGCAACATGTGTTCCAACCCCAATACAGGAGATAACACGTACGGGGATTTATGGGCCGTCTGTTTTACCCCGGGAGCGCCTCCCAGGATCCCCCTCGCAGAGGAAACTTCGTTCGCAAGCTTTTTTCTCTATATTTTGGAGTGTTTCGAGATAAGAAACTGGGTCCGAATGTAACGGTATAAATAAAATAGAACGAAGCTCGACCAAACGGTGTTTTTTAAATTCATTCTTGAAGATCGAATTATCTTCCAACGATAAAATTTTATTTGGTTAAATTTAAAAAATGGAACCACAACATGACCAATTTCAAGAAACAGAAAAACACTTTTCTATATGTATTTAAATCTGATGCTATTTTCCTATTTATTAATAGATTATAGATAAATTAAATGTTGCATTAGATAGTCTATAATTTCTAACGAAATATTCTGGATCTACGAAAATGAGGAAATAATGAATATGCTTTTTATTATATTTTGCGAAGAACATATTATTACTAGCTCCCCATTAGATTTCTCTCTCCTCCCAATCTCTTTCTCCTTTTCTTTCTTTTTAACACTATATTAATATAGATCTTTATATCTATCCATCTTCATTTTGCCTTTGTTTGTCTCATTTTTCTTTGTGATTCTCACACACTCTTCTCTCTCTCTTTTTCTCTCCCTCTTCCTTTCTCCCCTTCTTTCTTTTTAACGCTTCTTTTTTTTCGATCTATCCATCTATCTAGGTGCTATCTTCTTCTTTTTCGCTTTGTTTGTCTAATTTTTCTTTCTAATTTTCCCACACTTCAGTCCCTTCCTTTTCTCTCTCTCTCTCTCTCTCTCTCTCTCTCTCTCTTTGTCTCCCTCTTCCTTTCTCCCCTTCTTTCTTTTTAACGCTATATATATTTTTTCGATCTATCCATCTATCTAGGTGCTATCTTCTTCTTTTTCCCTTTGTTTGTCTAATTTTTCTTTCTAATTTTCCCACACTTCAGTCCCTTCCTTTTCTCTCTCTCTCTCTCTCTCTCTCTCTCTCTCTCTCTCTCTCTGAATAAATAAATAATATAATTAATAATCTAATTTGTTCAGACAATTTTTAAAAATTAATTTTCCTTTATATTGTCCGGTAATGTAATAAAAATAACAATGACAAATGTGTGTTTTTTTTTTTGGTATATTTATATGAAACATTCTTTTAAGCTATTTTCTTACTTTACAATATTGTTTAATACTTAAGTACTTTTTTCCCTTGTTTTCTTATTTTTCCTTTTATATTATTATATTTTTATAGCGAAAATATCTATATTTAAACATTTTTTCGTAAAGAGGATTAATTCCGTAAAATATATTATTATTATTATTATTAATATATTCTCTATTCTCTTCTCTATCATCTCTCGTTCTCTCTCTCTCTTTCCATTTTAGTAAAATAATTGTCATACATTGTAATTTATGTAGATAAAGATTATCCTATGTAAATAAATCTCTTATTTTTGCTTTTATATTGTTATATTTTTTATAGTGAATATTTTCATATTTAAACATTTTTTTTTGTAAATTGGATTAATTCCGTAACTTATATTATTATTAATCATAATATATTCTCTATTATCTATGATCTTTTGCTCTCGCTCTCTCTCTCTCTCTCTCTCTCTCTCTCTCTATTTCTCCCTTTCTGTCTGGTTAACCCTATATATATATATATCTTTTTATCCATCCATCTATCTATATTTTATCTTCTTCTTTTTCTCTTTGTTTGTCTCATTTTTACTTTCTAATTCTCACACACTCTAGCCCCTTCCTATTTGTTCTCTCTCTCTCTCTCTCTCTCTCTCTCTCTCTCTCTCTCTCTCTCTCTCTCTCTCTCTCTCTCTATATATATATATATATATATATATATATATATACTTTTAATTTAATCTTTAATCTTTTGGTTCTCTTCTTTTTTTGTTCATTCACTCACTCTAATTTTACATACTTTATTATCCTATCTATAGATTCTCCCATCTTATCCTATCATGTTTATTTGATTCTCTCCTGTATGCGCTATTACATAAATTCCTTGTTTAACTAAATTTAACCCCTTTATTTAATGGCTATTCTATATTGTAATTTATTTTCCTCTTTCTTTCCACTATTTGGCATTTTTTTACTCCTCATTCTTTCATTTCTTCCTCCGACTTTTTTTTAGTTTTTTGTCTTCTAAATCCCTACGAATTCTCGTAGTATGCATACCCAAAACTAAGTCTATGCCATTCCTATCATCAGGATGAACGCGTCTAAACAAAGTTGATCAAAATCGGACCTGTAAATTCCGCTTTTACCTGTCACACATAAACAAACTTTCTTTATTAGTTATTTTTATATTATTATTTCTGAGGTCCCTTGTGATTTTATCGTCGTCCAGTATCTATATTGATTCGTTTGTCGGCTAGTTTATTTCCTTCGATCCCCCCATGTCCCGGATCACATAGTAGGGTCACTTGATTACTTTTACCCAGGAGTTAGCGATGTGTTAAGAACTTTCAAGCCATTCATCAAAGATATATACATATTTTATGGTGTTCAATTATATGACTTTCGTATAGGAAGATTGACATGACTGGAATTATATTATATGAAAGCTTCAATTTTAAGGTTTTTGTAAAATCTTAGAATTTCTATATAAATCTATATCTAACCAACTATATAAAATTAAATTTTTTTGTTAAATAATATTTCAAATATTTATATAGGATATTTAAAAAAAATCTGTCTTCATAAGAAAATAAATATAATTAATAAATCGCTGGAGTAAACAAGAGAAAGCTGGTTTTCAATTCGGGACGGGTTGTCTTCGGAGGGGGTTTTTCTTCGGAGATAAAGAAAAGGGGAATTGACCTCCGAGCAGCCCTTCGCGTACGTGCTTCCTCTCCTCCCAATACTCCAACTTAGTCAATTATTCCCTGCCACCTTCCTGATGCCTCGGAAAACCTTATTCTTTTACGGGTCCAATAAAACTACGCCGTTTGTCCGATTCGGGGTTGAGCTAAGGCGACGTGAAAAACCTCTTCCGCATTTTCATTAAGGGCGGAAATATAAACAGATCCACCCTTCGGGTTTCCGGTATTTACAAAACGGATCCCTCGCCGGGGCTGTCTTCAATTATGTCGATACGAGGCTTATCGATACGTCCCTTGGGTTCATTTCGACCACATAAAATAAAATGGATATAAACGCGAGTCCGTTCATACCAGATACTTAAGCATGCCTGATATAATATATACATTAAGAATATTCCTTTGATTCAAGACGGTGCAATCTTACTTTTTTCATTAGATTTCGTGGTCCGATTGACCAAATAACCTCTTTCAATTGATTAATCTTTATGTAAGGTATTGGTTGAGATAAAAAAGTCAGTGTCATGAGCGGGATTCGAACCCAAGACCTTCGGCTAAATACACTTCTCAGTGGTAGAGCAGCGGCGTATTGACTTTTTTTTATCTCAACCAATACCTTACATAAGGATTAATTAATTGAATTATGAATAATGTGATAATCTCATTAAATTCTTTTCTAAAAGTTTTTTTTAAAGCTTGAAATAATTAGGCCAGTCACTTAGTTTTGGAAGATTTTGGAACGAGCTTAGGTCATTTTTAACCAGTTAGTTTATTTCTACGTTGGATAAAATTTCAGGATACTTAAGGCAAAGCTGTTCAGAATTTGTTACTTTTTTATGGTGTATTTGGCAAAAAAAAAAAAAAAATCAAGAACACAAAGCCCTAATAAACAGCTGCCATGTCAGATAGCTAATTAGACACCAGAGCACAAAACTCATAAATAGCTCTACGAATAAATTAAATAATTTTGGCAAAACAGTTTTCGTTGATTGGATCCCAAGACATGCAGGAGTGGAGGGTAGCGAAGAAGCAGATGTCACCACTGACAGGGCCTAGAGGCATCACAAGAACTAACAATAATAAACATACAACATGAGAAGTGTACTAGTAGAACAGCGGCGTATTTAGCCGAAGGTCGTGGGTTCGAATCCCGCTCGTGACACTGGCATTTTTATCCCAACCAATACCTTACATAAAGATTAATTAATTCAAAGATGTTATTTGGACAATCGGACCACGAAATCTAATGGAAATATTCATAATGTGATTTAATATTGATGAGATGACCAAGTTCCTAAATCATCAAATATTAAATGCTCCTTAGGAAGAAATAGACAATTAAGGCTAATTAATTACTCCCGAATTATTAGAAAGAAAAAATACAAAATACTTATCAATTTATATTTAACCAAATTTGAAGCTATTAATAACTCATGTTAGCATTATTAATTCAATTTCTATTTATTGTGATATAAATGCTTATTAAAAACTATGAGAATTGTAAAATTTTAACAAATGAAACCACAACAACCATAAAATATGTTTCACCTATATTTGAAATAAATATTCAATATATAACCTAAAGAATCTGTTAAGGTAGATTATATGAGATCATATCTCTTTTATCTCCATAATTTGCATTAAATTTCGTTTAAAGTTACTAAACTAAAGATAGATTTTCCTAGGAACTTCTAAAACGAAAGCTCCCTTTTACTAAAATAAGTGTGTATTTTGAAGGTTTTTCAAAATTACTCACTAATAACTTCAGCTATCGCGATTTCGATCCAGCTATCAACTTCCCATCTCAACCCCACCTTTTGAATTTTTCCTCATTTTTGCCATTTTTCTTTTATCTCAACCAATACCTTACATAAAGATTAACAATTGAAAGAGGTTATTTGGTCAATCGGAAAACGAAATCTAATGGATTTAATAAGCAAAATGAAGTATATCTTCACGAAAGCTCTCCGTGGCCATTTCATTTGTCGCCGAGAATCGAATAGATTACACGACATTTGAAAAAAGAAATATTATTTGTTAACACCACAACACTGTGAGTCTTAG